GAAATAAGGTTGTTTGTTAAAAGGTACCATGAGTATATTAAGAAAAATGGAGTGAGGCATTCTGAAAAAAATCTCACAAACTATATAAGGCAATCAAATACCTCAAAGTAAGACAATAACAAGAAGGAAAAATCTAAAGGTTCATGCTATACTTATGGAATAGCCGGTCATTATAAGCCAGATTGTCCATTACTTAAGAAGGATAAAGGAAAGGGTCAACAAAAGAAGTCTAGCAAGCCTATAAAAGCATATATCACTTGAAAAAGTGATATTGAATCCTCAAATGAGGGTAGCTCAAGGGAAAGTGATGAAATGAAAAAAAAATCTTAATGGTTAATCATAAGAAGAAGAATGTAAGTCATTATAAATATGAATCTATAGATAAAATGTCTTATCCTAAGTTATAAATTGCGTTTGAAAATCTATATGGTGAAGCCATAAAAGCTTTTAAAAGGTTGGCTTCAAATAAAAGAATATTTTTATACTTAGAGGCCAAAGTTTTAGAAACGGAGAAAGTTAATTTTGAGGATGGGAAGTATTTTTGGCTTGGTTGTGAAACTTGTCACATTTGGCAAAAAGAGGTTATAACTCTAAAAGGCAAACTGAACAAGGCTTTAGAACTAAAATTTTCCTTTGTTATTAATCCAACAAAATTCAAAAGATCCTTAAATGTACCGTGCAAAAAGTATAATTTTGTTGCAAAGGAATCACGTAGCAAAAGTTACTTTCATCATCACTTGACTTGGCACTATTATTGCAAGAAAGGTCATACCATTGCAAAATGAAAATTTAGGAGATATTTGATTCCTAAAGGTGTGTTTCAATGGTTTTCTAGGGGCAACAATGTTTCCACTCACTCTCAAGGATCCAACAAAAATTGGAACCTATCACTCTTGTTTGATCTTGTAGGTTGAATATCTTGGATCCATGGGAAGAATGTGGTTTCTTGGTAGTGGTTGCTCAAGGCATACAACTGGTGACATTTCCCTATTCATTGACTTTACAGAAATAAGAAGGGTTACGTGACCTACGAAGACAACAATAAAGGTGCTAATAAGGGTGATATACTTTGTAAAGGTGGTGTAGGTAATCTCTTTTCTACTACTATCTCTGACGTTATACTTGTTGTAGGTCTTAAACATAATCTGCTTAGCATTATTCAACTATGTGACAATGGATATAAAATGACTTTCACAAATAATTGTTGCTTGATTTAACATAATGAAAAGCTATATTAATCATCTAAGGGCTTTAGGGTAAATAATATTTATATGCTTAACTTGAATGATGTATCATTGACAAGTACTAAGTGTTTAGTACGAGTGAAGACTTTTGGTTATGGCATAGATGCTTAGCCCATGTCAACTTTGATTTACTAAAAAAAATGATCTCAAAGGATCTTGTTATTGGTATACCTAAAATTAAATTTTCAAAATACCACTCATGTGATGCATGTCAAATGGGAAAGCAAACAAGAGTCTCTTTTAAATCTAAAAATGTTGTTTCAACTTCTAGACCTCTTGAGCTTCTCCATATGGATCTTTTTGGTCCTTTAAAGACAAAAATCTTAGGTTGAAATTATTATGGTTTTGTTATTATAGACTATTATTCTAGACTTTGTTGGATCATCTTTTTGCGTAATAAAGATAAGACTTTTTCAGCTTTCAAACATTTTGCAAAGTTGTCCCAAAATAAAATGAGTTTAAACATAGTTGCAATACGAAGAAATTATGGAGGTTAATTTGAAAACCACCTCTTTGAGGATTATTGCGATAAATATGGCATTAAACATAGTTTTTTTCGCTCCAAGAACTTCATTGCAAAATGGTATTGTGGAGCACAAAAACCAAATTTAATAGGAGTTGGCAAGAACTATAATTAATGAGATTAATCTACCTAAATATTTTTGGGTCGATGCAATAAGTATGGAGTGTCATGTTTTAAATAGGATTTATACGTCCTATTTTAAACAAGACACCTTATGAACTTCTCAAAGGTAGGAAAAACAAATTTATCACATCTTCATTTCTTCGGACGCAAGTGCTTTGGATTGAATAATGGTAAGAACAACCTTGGAGATTTTGATTTGAAAGCTTACGAAGGTATCTTCCTTGGAAACTCTGAGTCAAGCAAAGCCTATAGAGTGTATAATAAGAGATTACTTACTGTTGAATAGTCCGTGCATGTCACTTTTGATTAATCTTATCCGAGAAATGTTGCAAAAGGTATTTCTTTTCATGATGTCGGTGTATCTTCAGAAAACATACTCAAAGACACTGAAGAATGAATTGATTAACTGAAGATATGAAACCTGAGAAGGAGGAAGATGATGATCCTGAAAAAGAGAAAGAAGTGAGACCAACTAAAGTGGATGATCTTCCCTTTGTTTCAAAAACTGCTAAAGACAATCCATTCGACAACATTCTTGGAGACATCACCAAAGGCATAACTACACGCTCTAAGATAAGTAATTTATGTTACCACTTTGCATTTGTGTCTCAAATTGAACCTAAAAACAAACAAACAAAAAAAAAAGGCCTTAATCGATGAGCATTAGCTTATTCCGTGCAAGATGAGTTGAAATAATTTAAAAGAAATTATGTGTGGGACCTTGTCCCACCTCCGCGAAATAATCAAGTTATAGGCACTAAATGGGTTCTTAGAAATAAATTGGACGAAAATGGAGTGATGACAAGGAACAAGGCCCAGATAGTGGCTCAAGGATATAACCAATAGGAGGGCATATATTATGAGGAAACTTATGCTCCGGTTGCCTGCCTCGAAGCTATACATACGCCTTTTACTAGTGTTTGTATGCTCTAAAGATTTCAAATTATTTCAAATGGACATGAAAAGTATTTCCTTAATGGTTATATAACTGAAGAAGTGTATATTTCACAACCTCCCGATTTTGAAAATCACGAGTATCCTAATCATGTTTTTAAACTAAAACGAGCTTTGTACGATCTCAAGCAAGCCCCAAGCACTTGGTATGAGCGGCTTAGTAAGTTCCTACTTGATCAAGGATACTTAAAAGGGAAGGTTGATACAACATTTTTCATCAAACGTCAAGGAAAACATATTTTCCTCGTTCAAATTTATGTTGATGATATTATATTTGGTTCTACTAATATGTAATTGGTCAAAGAGTTCTCAAAGCTAATGCAGAAAAAATTTAAAATGAATCTAATGGGAGAGTTGACTTAATTTTTTAAATATCAAATCAAGCATCTCAAAGAAGGAGTGTGTTAAACAAAATATTTCCAAGTGTTGCTTAAACGCTTCGAAATGGCAGATGCAAAGTCAATCAAAACTCCAACACCCACTAACGGGAACATGGACAAAGATGAAAGTGGTAAGGATATTAACTTCAAAAGGTATGATCTGGATCTGAAATCCTTTCTTCTTTTATTTTGCAAATATCTCGAGAAAATCAGAGATTTTAACGGCCAAATTGAGGCAGAAATGGTGATTTAAACCAAATCGGCTGCGATAGATATCTGCATTTGCAACTAAATGTTTTTTATTATGAGATCTTAGGGGATTGTGACTAAGGGTGGTAAAACGGGCTCAGCCCATTGAACATGCCCGTTTTGATCGCACTTTAGTATGGAAAAGACCAAAGGTTTAAGTCTGCACCCTCTAATGTGTACCCCGCCACGCCCCATTTTTTTAGTTTCTTTTTGCGGACTTTTTTGGACATGGACATTAACATAAATTTTGTATTTTTATTCTTAAAGTGTGAAGTACCCGCGGGTTTATTTCACCCCGCCCTCACTTTTAGTGCGGGCTGACCAAGATTTTAGACGTGCACTCTCAATTATGTTTGTCCCGCCCTGCCACGTTTTTTGCGGGCTTTTTCGGAGAGGGCATAAATAGGGCGCACAATCCAGTTTTTACCCCTAATTGTAACTAATAGAAGTAAGACGCGAATGTGGATTTGGCAAATATGTAAAAATCAAAAGTTGATTTACTTCCTGATTTAGTGACCTAAAAAGGTCGTGAGCTGGCTAATGAGAGACTATATTTAAAATCGTAAAAATCATAGGAATCAGAAATCGATTTCGATAGACGGTGTTATTGTTCCGTTTGAAGACCAGAAATGGGTGTTTCAGTTTCACAAAGGAACTAGAAATGATGAGAGGTGGATCATTGTTTATCTTGAACAATGACTTCGATCTCCTTTACGATAACACAAGGTGGACATACATGATTAGCATTCTAACGTCCGAGTTAGTCCAAAAATTAAAATGAGTAACACGAAATTAGAGTTCAGTGACGGTGTATTTTCTCATAATAATTTGAACTCTTATTTATTTTAAAATGAGTAGAATAGACTTAAAATAGATTGAGTATTATTCATTCGGACCTTTCCACGGTCCAAAACGAAATCTATACCAAAAAATTTTAATAATTCCCTTTTTAATGTATTCTTCTCTCATGGAGTTGAATCAAAGTCATGACTATATAGTTAAAAGTTGAAAAGGATTGCTATGTAGTAACTAAATAAATAGAAAGTGGGGGAATAAAAGCCGCCCCTATACACAAGAGGTTAGACTTGTGTTTTTCTAATTGCTACAAAGCAATGACTTCCAAATAGCTTTCAATATTCCAAATGCTAAAATTGCATCCTCAATTATAACATATCTTATTCTAGTGATTAAAGTTATAAGTTTTACCAATTGACAAATGCCACCAAATTCTAAACGATTATCCGATGAAATTATCACAAATAAAGAAAGAGCCAAAAATATTCAAAGTTGAGTTCCTTGGTTTCACTATTTCACAAGCAAAGGATTATTTACAAATTCCCTATGTGATGTTGAAACCATCAGAGAAAATGGCATCTACAATAACTCATTCAACCTCTGATAGTTTCTAGTTTCTATATGCTGCCAATAATTGTTTTAAATAACGTCTCTATATTCATTTACAAAATATGGACGCAAGAAATGATAATTGGGCCATTTTTCAATAGCCCAAATCAAAGTATAAAACAATCAAAAATCAGCAAGACCATCCTCTTCACATTCTTCATCTCTGTCTTCAAATATGGTCTCTAGCTTAGGAATATTGGAGGGTTTCCAAGGGAACTCAAGAAGTGAAGGTGCAACCTCCATCCATGGCTTCATCGCGGGCCTTTGTTCTCCTGCCATTGCAGCTTGTTTGTAGCGGTGGTGTGCGTGACGCTTGATGAAGCTTTATTATTATTAGGTCAAACTCTCTCTATGCCCCTGATTGAAACACAGAGAGAGAATGCAAACGAAAAGAATAACTATGGAAAACTATAGCTTAAGGTTTCTCTGAGATGTTTTTTGAATGCTGTTGGTTGATTGAATGAATTGGTATTGAGGAATGAAGAGGGCTATATATACAAACATTTGTAAAGTGGTTACGAAACAAATTGAGGTAATGTGAGGTTGGAAAGCAAAGAGACGAGAATAACTCTTGGCCAATGGCTTCAAAACCATGAATAAGGAACAAACATAGAGGATTTGTTTTTTATGATAGCTAAATATGGAAAACGAAAGAGGGGATTAGAATGTTCTAAAAATAGGTAAAGTGTCATAGTATGAAATCGGAAGGAAAGAAAATATTTTTGAGAAGTTTCTATTTGTTTTTGTTTATGGATCTTGTTAACATGTGTTCATATTTAATTCAATAAAAATGCACATATTCAAAGAAATATTAAGAGTTTTCCACATTAATAATGAAAATAGAATACGTATTAGATATAGATAAATAGAATAAATCCGGATTCCAATTTCCAAATACACCCTTGTAACAATGCATTTAGTACATTTTCTCTTATATTTGATAGTAACAATGCATTTAGTACATTTTCTCATATATTTGATAATAAAGGGTGTATTCGAATTTCAATATTCAAATACACCACCACTGGGACAATGTGTTCGTTTATTTGATAACAAAAGTGAATTCAATCTTCGGCTGCACCACTAGAACAATATTGTTGATATAAATTACACTAGCATATAAGTCATTTATAAATCAAATGTCATTTTTAAGAAAAAACAAAATTTTAATAAGTCATCCACGCAACAGCTCTTTTTATAAGTCATCCACACGACAGCTCTTTTTATAAGTCATTCACACATTACTCATTTGCATAAACCATATATAATTCATAATATAGTCATTTTGAAACCAAAATTTCTATAGGGTTGAATACAGACTTTGAAATTCAAATTTTCTCGTATAAGTGAGAAGAAAACTCCCAACAATCACCTAACTCAGAATGATTTGTTAGAATGATTCAAAACTAAAAAACAACTCATCGTAGAATGATTCAAACGATAAACGATAGAGATGTAACCAAATGGATTTTAACTAGAATGAAAAACTTACTAAATTTGATAGATGAAATTGCTTGTCTTGAATGAGGGAGAGTAGAAATTGATGAAATTGCTTGATTTGAATGAACAAGAGTAGAGTAGATATTAAGAGAAAAAATTGAAAAAATGTTGGCCTCAAATTTAAGAGATCTAGTGCTCTTGAGGGTAAATCTTTTTTTGTTTTGTTTGAAATACAAGGGAAGGGAGACAGAGATAAAGTATGCCCGCATCACTTAAATGGCAACGCTCAAATTTCAATGTTACTATGGTGCATTCAGGTTAGGTTTCGTAATCATGACATATTCTTTTGCAAAAAGGGTATTTTGGAATTTTCAACAAGGTGTTAGTCAACAATTCCTTTAATATTAAAATAAACTGCCAAAAAATAAAATCCCAACATTTCCATTTTTTTACATGGTCCATTTGATAAAAGGCTAACATTTCAAACAGATTAAACCTGTTAAAAGAATTAGATGACCACACTCACATATATGAGATTGGAACTGCCTAATGCACAACCTAAATTAACACAAAGCTACAACCTAAATTACCTAACGCACAAAATTTCTTAAACACCCAGGAGATTACCATAATCAATATCCAATAACATTTGTTTACAACATTCGTAATCTAACATGAAAAAGTCTTTTTCCATAAAATGAATTAAACAGTGAAAGTGAAAGTCAGGAAAATGATGGAAATGAACAATACTTTTGCTTTAATGAGGGAAACTACTCCAGCTTAATCTTCTGCTTAACACGGACAGATATAAACTTAACACAAGATATATTTCACCAAACTTCTTCGATTAATCCCCTAACCACGTTTGCCCACATTCAAAATAACAATGTCATACAGATGCAAATGTGCAAAAATCAACTTCAAAATACAGATCTTCCTATAAGATTCCAACCGTCAAAATCATATCAAATAATATGATCAACATACACCTAACCAATGAAAGCCACTTCATTGATCGATCATTTCCTTTAAAGAGATCTTCCTCCTCTAAGAGGATGTTAGGATTAATGTTTTGTTGTTGTAGGAAACTCTGAAATGTTACACAGTAAACATCTAAACAAAGTGAAGCATTTAAATCTGTCAAATTGACCCACCCTCCGAGGAAACGTAAGGCAGCCCAGCCCAGAGTATTACTCGCTATGGCTATACATGGGTGAGAAAATAAACCATTGCTTAGCATGTTCTTCATAATTACAGCAGAAACAAAACACATGAACACACAAACAGGTGGACCTGCAATTGGATTCCTGAGATACCAAAATTACTCAAAGAAAATCTTAACGACTAGCGTCAACTTAAGTTAGAATCCAATGTTTTAAAAAGCAAATACGGTTCAACTAGTTACATAATGAATCTGCAGGACTATACTCTATAGTAAACCTATTTGAATCTATTTGAATGGTTCGGTTTTGTCTGGGTTGGAGAGCTTTAAAACAGTCCAAACATGACCAGTAGGGAATACATTTTCGAATCGAAAACAATCAGAGCAGAAAAATCTTCTCAATTACTCAAACTCTAAATCCATTCAACAAATCCATAACAGAAAAATATTAACCAGCATATAAAACATCTCAAAATCATCTCAATTACTCAAAAATCTAAATCCATTCAACAAAATCTTCAACAATTCAAAACTTCAAAACTTTAACGCATTAAAAAGAGTCTAACAAACAAAAATAAATAAACCACCTCCTTAATCCTGAGGGATTTCAACATCCCCATCGTTAATCTCCTGTTGCAGATCCTTCGGGTCCTTCCCATCAACAGTACATCCAACAGACACACAAGTCCCAAGAATCTCCTTAACCGTCCCAGCAAGCTCCTTCGCCATCGATCTCGGCTTCATAATCTTCGCAATCTCAATAACATCATCAAGAGAAATATTCCCATTATGCTTGATGTTTTTCGTCTTCTTCCGATCCCGTTCCGGCTCCTTCAAAGCCTTGATGACAAGTGCAGCCGCCGATGGAACAACCGCAACCTTCGCCTGACGATTCTGGACGGTCAGCTTCACTGTCACTCTTAAACCCTTCCAGTCCTTAGCTGTCTCCTTTGCAATGTCTTCTCCGATCTTCTTTGGAGAGAGACCGAGAGGACCGATTTTGGGAGCGAGTGAACTCGCTGCGCCAACCTCGCCACCGGTGACTCGGACGTAGACCTCCACCACCTGCGACGGGTCAAGCTTTGGCGGCATGGTTGCTGAGTCTGAGAATTAGGGTTTCTAGAAAATAATGAGAGAGTAGGAAAATCCTTTTATATTGGTTTGGTACACTCTTACAGTAATTATACTCCCTCTAGAAAATAATAAGAGAGTAGGAAAATCCTTTTATTTTATTATCTTGTTTAATTTATTCAAATATTTTTTTAATTTATTTTATATTTTATTTTAATGTCTTGTTTAATTTATTCAAATATTTTTTAAATTTATTATCTAGAATTTTAATTTAGTTTTACAATATTTTTTAAATAAAAAATTTCTTAAATATATCGGTGGAATTAAGTGGTAAATTATAGGCATAAATACATTTTTTGTCCTTGTAAGATAGCTAGTTTTTTAGTTTAGTGTATGTAATTTATTTGTTTCAACAATGTTATGTTTACACTTACCTGACACCTACATTGTATGCATTGTTCACAAATACGGTTAACAGTGTCGTGAACAGTAAAACTGTATATGAACAGTGTTGTGAACAGTGCCTGTAAATAGTGTCCATGAACAGTTCATAAATAATGACTTTTAATAGTTTGATGGAACAACTGCAACCTTCGCTTGACGATTCTGGACGGTCAGCTTCACTGTCACTCTTAACCCCTTCCAGTCCTTGGCTATCTCCTTTGAAATTTCTTCTCCGGTCTTCTTTGGGGAGAGACCGAGAGGACCGATTTTGGAAGCGAGTGAACTCGTTGCGCCAACCTCGCCACCGGTGACTTGGACGTAAACCTCCACCACTTGCGACAGGTCAAGCTTTGGCGACATGGTTGTTGTGTCTGAGAATTAGGATTTCTACAAAATAAGGAGAGAGTAGAAGAATTCTTTTATATTGGTTTGCTACACTCTTACAGTAATTATACTCCCTTGAATATTTTAATTTATTTTTTATTTTATTTTAAGAAAAATAGATGATATATTGTCTGTATAATTTTTTTTGAAATTATCAGTAATTCATAAGGATCGTGTATAGTTAAATAAATAAAAAATTTAATTAATTATATGACATGGTAGAATAATATAAAACTTTTTGATATTACTCTTGTATCATCATTAAACCCTTTTATTTTAATATATTGTTTAAATTTATTTTTTAGAATTTTATTTTAGTTTAACAGTATTTTTTAAATATAAAATTTCTTAAATAAATTGGTGAAATTAAGTAGTAAATCATAATATTAAATTTATTGCAACAAAACTATTATTCTAGCAACAAAAAAATAGAGCACCAAATATACGTACGGGTGGACAAAGAATCGACACTCGTTTAAGATTGATTAAATTGGATAAAAATCAATCAATCAGGTTGGTTCACACGGGTAACCGAGTTAACGGGTTAGTGTATTCTATTTTATATGGTTCACATGGACGGACACAGGTATTTAAATTAAGGAAATTTCTTAATGCATCATATATGTTACTTACGCACCACGTGAAAATACTAAAATGTTCCCCAGTTTTCAGATATGCATCTCCGAACGCACCCAACACACACTCAACGTAGGTCATTCTGAGTGACGTCATATAATTTGGGTGTTTTAATATGGAGATGCATCTCCGATAGATATTCGTATATGCATTTTCGAAGTGTTTACACGCCAAACACCAAAAACGTGTAATTTAACAAAATAAAATAAACATTCATAAAATAAAATAAGTATTACATAGATGATTTTAACATAAAATGCAACACTACACTTCAATATTCATGGGGACGTTTCAGCATCTTCATAATATCTTTGAATGATCTTGAAATCGTCTCTTCCAACTCGAGCGAAACTTTTGTTTTGAAACGGAAAAATGTATTTCACATAACTCTTACATCTGCATCCGTCTTGAGCTCAAAGTTGTTGAACTCAATCTTCTTTCTGTTGACAATCGACAGGAACGGTACTCGAGCTTCACAATTCTTCGATTCTCTCTGTAAGATAGGAGATTATGGATTTCGTATCTAATATCTGCAAGAGATGTATACTCGATGAGTTTAAATTTTCGTTCGAGTGTCGCGTTGGAGAAGGAGATATTTGTGACATAGCACTTGATGTTTACTTATGACATTTGAGACATTTTCAGTTTGTGTGAAATAAAAAACAAGTGCATTTTAATTTATAGAAGTTGTAGACAAATTTGGACCATTCAAAACTTGCATGTTGATTCCGGAGATATATCTCCGATTTGCATTCTATTATCTTGTTCCGAAGATACATCTCTGGTACCTCTCCTGAACATGCAGAAAACAAAACCTTTGAAAACAGAACTTAATTGAAGACATTTTTTGACAAATTAACAAATTTTATGAGAAAGATAAATAAAAAAAAGTATTCAAATATTAAGAAAATGAATATATTACACTTAATTAATATTAAGACACAATTACAGACACTTATTTGTCCAGTTAAATAGAAAATTAAAACGAATCGAGATATTTGTCGTCGACTAAACCTATGGGTGGTACCCCCTTTGACTTTTGTGCATTTGATTCTCTTCCAATGTTGCTAAATTTCGTGAACTTTTTCATCCTTTCCATAAAATGGTTCGGCCAAGTTTCGGCTTTTGTTGTTGAATCAGCCATCCACTCCTGTGATGTAAGTGGTATAAGACACCCCGGTTTCAAGTAAACTTAAACAAAGTATTGTGATTTTGAAAGCCAACCCAATACACATAATACGATCATTTGGATTTTAAGGTGATTGCAAAAACCAATAGCAAAAGTAACACATAAGTAAGGTGGTTGCTACACATCAAGACATCATATCAACACACATCATACTGGAATGTCTTGTCCCGCATGATCATTACTCTCTATTTTTGCCACAATTTGGCAAAAGTGAGGCAAGAGCCATAATAAGAAAAACAAGCTTCATGATTCATAACAAAAGCTTGATATGAATAACAACCAACCAGAATAGCGCACCTCTTCAGCCAAAAGACCTTAAATTGGGAATAGGTACCATATAATCAATCCACAGGAGCACATACAACAAGGAACACCAAACTAGCAATAGTAGCAACAACAGGTTGGGTATAAAGGGTCTAACATTTCTTCATCAAAAACCATATTAGATTCATCAATTGATACACATATATTGGACATAATGTTTATGACATCTTACCCAACAAACAACTTACAATTAAAACCCAATAACCCATGAGGAAAACCATCATTCTTAACCTCAATCTCCTTCATCATCTTAAGATAACAAGCTCCAGCATTTAGCATTCTCTTCAACAACTGAGAGACACTACGAAGCTTCATAAATTCATTTTACTTTCGTGCTTCAACAAAAAGTTCTTATGCATCCTTAGTTGCAATTTCTTCTTCTTCCTTAATCCCTTTTTCTTGGTCATAATCTTGTCAATAGAGGGAACATTGCTTATGACAAACTAATTAATAATTGAATGTGGAATCTTCACACATTTTTCCTTTATCATACAACTTTTTAACATCCTTGACCAGCTTTTCATATCAAGGACCAACATTAGTAACAATCTTCTTTAGCCGAACAACTTTCATCAGATCTATAATCCCTTTAGAATCAAAAGCATTTGTACCTAGCTCTTTTTCACAAGAAACCCTTCTAAGAAAAACATATTTACACTTCTGAACAATTATTTTATAATGGAATGACACATTATCCAGAGGAGCGGCATCAACATTCACAAGAATCCTCTTCCCACCAACCTTTCTTCTTACAGAGTGCACAACAAAACAACAACATATGTCTTTTAAAAAGTTGTTAAGAGGTAGAACAATTAAACAACAATGACAACTTAAACAACTCAAAAACAACAATAAATAGCAACAACAATAATAACATTAAATCTCAATCTAAACAACAACAACATTAAACAACCAACTAAAAATAATAATCTCTCAACAAAACTACAAAAAAAAACCAACAATAAATCTACAGCGTGCTTATTTCAACAAAAACAACAAAGTATAACATTTAATCTGAGTTTAAACAACAACAATATTAAACCTTTGGGATTTAAGGTCTTAACAACAAAAACAACAACAACAACAATATAACATGAATAGTGATGTTTGATGTACCAGATAAGTGAAGAAGTGAAAGATATAATTCAGTCTTTCATTCAAGCAAGTATTAAACAAAAGTCCTAAACACATGTCATCCTTCTAGAATATGATATATGTTTAGTGCTCTTCATTATGGTTTTTTTTTTTGTGTGTGTGTGTGTGTGTGTGTGTTTTTTTTTGGCAAATGAGACAGAAAGCTACAAGTTATGTTATATATAATAAGAGTAAATTATTTTTCCTATGTTGGGAGACATAACCGAGGTGAAATATGAATTATTTTTGGAATAAAAAAATTTGGAAGGAAGTGCCACTTTTAATGAAATAAAAACATAATCTGCAGTTGTTGAGATTCAAAGCAAGTCCCCTTAATTATTTTACTCTTCGGTTATATACAGAAGTTGACAAAATAGAATCTATTTTTTAGAAGAAAAAGAACATGGCGCGTCCATCATTCATTCCTCGTTTTTGTTAGGTGAGGTGAAATCATTGTCATAAAATGTATTATTTGTAGTAGTGTCTTTAAGAGAATCTTCCAAAGGATATCTTGATAAGCACATCTTAAGCATCTTCGACTGTTTAAGTTGTCTTCAATACATAAGGATTTCACTATATATCATTTAATATAAGGTGTTGTCATCATCAAAACCAAATAGTCAATTAGTTTATTTCAATTTTGCTATCAACAAACTCCACCACCTTGGATCACTTTGGCAATACCTTCAAGCACATAGATCCACATCTACCACGACCTCTATAACGATTCATGTGTTCTATGACTTTATTTATTGCAAAAAATTCACGCACACCACCTATTTTTTTAATTTGTGTGAGTCATATTTATTGTAACACTCGACATAGTTAATTCATGCTTGAACTTGTCAAGCTGAGCTTCCTGGACATAGAAGAGAGCTTCAACATCAAAGAGTGTTAAGAGATCAAGATT